AAAAAAAAAAAAAAAAAAGTCACGGTGAAACAGAGGTATCAGTAGATCTTTTCTTCCTTATTGTGACCTACATGCTAATTGAACAGATTACTGAAAAAGGGAAACAAATTACTGTAGATGACGGCTTTGGTTTTTCTATCAGTTGTTGATTGGAGATCTGAATGCAAGCTTGCAGTTGATTGTAATAAAGGGGCGGGTTTAAGCAGTTTAAATTATTGTAGAAGTCCTACAAATGTCACCAGAGAGAAGTCTGACGTTTTACCAGAAGATCAAGCTTTTTTATTATCATTTTGATTTGAACATTATGATGAAAAAAGGAATATGTGCATAGATGAATTGTTCACAGTAAGATCAATACGATTGCTTTTCATTGTGAGCATTTGAATAGTATTGAAAATTATCCAAAAAATGGGTCAATTATAATAGTGACACAAGATACCCAGAGAGAATACAAGCAGTGTTTTTCCTTACCCAAATCACTAAATAAACCTTGACAAGTGTATGATGTAAATTAAACTGTCAGCTGCTTTCCTGAATGAACTTGTGGAACATCTGGAGGAACACTAAAATCTTCTCTTACATTAATTAAATGTAACACAATTTTACATATTGTTTCAGTTCATTGTAGTGTTGATAATAACTAAAGTAGCATATAGTGAATGTGTTGTAGAAACATTAGTAACAGTTCTGTTCACTTACTCTAATGTTATCACTTGTAATTGCTTTCAAATGACGCTTTTCAGTTGATTGTGAAGCATTTGCCTCCGTTCTGATTTTTAATCACATTACTGTGATGTTTAACACTTTTAAAGGAAAATGCAATGTAACAATTCATTTCAACCCACTTAAGTATAATATCCAATCAATTGTAACCACTTTATGAGCACATTTAACTGACAGTCATATATGTTTGCATAATCCTCAGTTCAGTCCTATGAGATGTTTGTAAATGTATGTTCTGCAACAGTAAACAATGGGGCGGGGCTTCGCAAACTGTCAATCCATCGCCTGTAGTAGTCACTCTTCAAAGTAGGGCTGCACAATTAATCAAATTTCTAATAGCGAATACAATTATGGATGCCACAATTACGTAATCGTTCAAAGCAGCAATTAATCGTTCAAAGTCCACTTATGTTATTCTGCGTGCTTAAGATGCGTTTTTTTTCTTTCTACATGTTATCTTAAGGGTTTTTCCATTGTTTTAGTTTTAGTATAACATTATAATACCATTCATATTTTTACTTTTTTTTATATAATTTAAAGAAGAAACCAATCCAATGTATATTTGACATTTGAGGCTTAATACTATAGAAAAGCACTAAAGGTTTTTCAGTTAGAGTGTTTTCAGCTTGTTTATTTTCATATAAAAATACGGCATGCAGTTGCATCAAACAATGGTATAAATATAATTCAATGTAAATTGTGATAATCGTAATTAATAATCGCAATTACAATTTCAAGGGAATAATCGACAATTATGATTTTTGTCATAATCGTGCAGCCTTACTTCAAAGATAGAAGAATAATTTTGTTTGGAAAATGTGCTGGAGCTACACTTCTGTTACACCATACTTCATTTAGCAGACAAGGTCTTTAGTAAACAACAAAGCATTTCTAAAACTATCCGTCATACCTGATTTATGAATGAAAGGCAGGTGTGAAGTCAGCAGGGAATATGTATTCAACTCCGCAGCTCGAATATTTTAATTTCACTGCATTTGTGGTGTTAGTGCCGCACAGGTTTAAACCGGCACTGTGAACAACATGAACATCCATTTATAACAACTGTTTAAAGCTTTTAAATGCACTTCAGCTCCATTTCCATGTCAGCATCTATAGTGAGTGGCAAAAATTCAGGGTTATGGGTTGTGGTGACTGTTGAAATTGGAACCTGGGAAGTAAATGAGGTGAAAAGATGCTTCGGTGCCTGTTGAAAGCCACTTGCGTAGCAACACGGGTACACTTCAATGTCAGATGTCATCCTGCATTCTCTAATACCTGGTGCTCCACAGGCACAGAGCCAACCTCACTTTCTCTCTGCCGGCCCGCCCGATGAGAGGAAAGAACTCGATACAATCAGTGCTGCTCATGTTTAATAATGCCCCTCCATTAAGTGGACGTCTCTTCTGGTTGTGATGCTGGAAGCTTAGAAGTGCCTGCCTCAGCTGTTGGCTGGACGGGACGTGACAGTTTATTTAGTGAAGGTCGATGAGAGTGGGTTCTGGAGATATTAGCAGCTCTTAATCCCTGGTAGATATCCAAAAGGAGTGTTAGGCATATGCTTTTTTATACATGTTCACTACCATTTAAAAATTTGAGGTCAGTAAGATTTTTATCTGTCTTTTTACGCGTTGCGTTGCATCGCGCCGCATAAACATAAAACCATGTCTGCATTTGTGATCAGAGAAACGACAAACAACAAGCCCTACTCTACACTGCTCAAAACTCGCGTTTGAATCATCAGTGGCAAATCCTTTAAATATGAAAGCATTATTTGTCAGAACACCGGCATTGTAGGCTACTCTCCCAGGAAACAGTCCTCGTCCTCTGTAAAATGCGTTGCTCATATCTTAATATTAGGGTTGAACTGTTCTGGAACAGTGTTGTAAATACAACTTAATTTCTAGTTGTGTCCTCTTTTGGAAGGCCATACAAAGTAGTTTCGCTTTCATAACGAAACACAGTGTCTCCATGACATGGCGGTGGCAACAATACTACAGCGAGAATCAAAGTTATGCCTTCTTTCTTGCGTGAACATTTGGGCGGTGTTATGCAAATATTCCCACATCGTGACATAGACATGTGGGGGCGTGTTTGAACGAGGCGTTTTAGGAGGGCGTGGACAAGTCTCAACTCTTATAAAGAATATCTCTTTGGGTTTGAGACTGTAGTCTTTGCAACTTTACAGTTTTTGTAACACTCCAAAGAGAAAGGAAAACTTGAAATCGCATCATATGACCCCTGTAAGCACCAAATCAGCATATTAGAATGATTTCTAAAGGATCATGGCTCTAAAAAAAATCGCTGCTGAAAAGTCATGTTTGCCATTGCGGGAATAAATGACATTTTAAAATATATTAAAATAGAAATCAGCTATATTTATCTTTAATAATATTTCACTGTATTATTGTTTTGTTGTATTTTTGATCAAATAAATTCAGCCTATGTGAACAAAAGAGTCTACTAATATGTATTACGGTATCTTAATAGTATTCTGATACCACAAACAGCATATTTATACAAACAATTACTGTATTTAATTAACAATTGGTAGGTGTTGAAATGTAAAACCCATTCAGCACTCATGTTGTGAGATTATTTATTTATTTATTTATTTTTCTTGTAAAGTGTCATTATACCCTAAACTAATAAACCATTCGCTCACTCAGAAAACCTTTACAGAACACCCCAGGAATAAACTAGAGATTTCTGCTCCATATTTTAAAAACTTCAAAAGCAATTCCAGCTGATAACACACACACACACTAATAATAATAATAATAACAAAAGAAGGCTTGTATCCATACCTTTTGCTTATTGTAAGTGATCCGACAATAACATTTGACCATAGTTCTGGATAATTTCTCTGAAATTACTCTTTGAAACTATCCAAACACAGAGATCCTCTGTAGACTGACATAAAACCGAAAGTTCTTGAAAATGGCAACAGTTTCTAAGGTAAGATTGGTCAATAATATTTTTATTGCTGGGCTCAGCGAGGTGTCAGTTATGATCCATTTCAAAAAGGTAGCCACTTTTCGTCTACCATATTATTTTCCATTTAGTATGGCAGGGACCTTGTAAACAGCAGATGGCTGAATTTGTGTATACAGTATCTCACCCTAAAAATCCTCTGAAATGAGTCAAATTGGCGCCACAGAACTGGTCTAAAACCCACAGTCTCAGCACTTAAGGTCCTTCAGGCATTGCTTTGGGCAGGTAATGGCCCTCAAACCTAACTCATTGTCTAAGGAGCGCCCGGACTTCTTTCTAATCCCAGCCAGGAGTGAGAAAAGCAGGGCGTATTTTCAGAGCACAAAACCACTACTCAAACAGCCTCAATTAGCAGCGCCTCATCAGGCAGCCCTTTCATCTTCTGAAGGAGAAAGTGTGTCTGTTTTGTGTAGCTCCCATCTTCCACAATGAGTGTGGGCCCTATTATTAGAGGCAGGACAGCGCCTGCACTCCCACATGCTAGGTGTCATCAGAGCAGCTGAGCTCAGAACCGATGAGTGGCTCAGTCTGGGCATATGAAAGCCCAGCCAGTCTCCCTGGGTTAAACCAGCCAGAGCCAAGGGTTTGATGTTCCTCTCTGTCTGAGTGCAGCGCTTTTAGTGCAAACAAAGCGTCTGCATGCTGCTGACAGCCAGGGTGGGCAGAGCTTAAAATGCCAAGCACTCGGGAGCCCTGGCATGGATGCCTCTGGAACACCGGGGTAGAGCCTGTAGGTGTTAAGCCAGCTTTTAGTGCTGATAGAGTCGTGCTCCGTCTGGAAATTTAGCCAGTTAATTAGCTTTCAGGGGTTGTAGTTTGCAGTAGGACAGTACTACAGGAGCGCACCCAGAGGCGGACAGTAACTAAGTACATTTACTTGAGTATTGTACTTAAGTACACTTTTT